GATGGTACCTTAGTAGCTCATTCCTGACCTGATGTCTAATCTGTAAATGGTATTAAGAAAAAGGGAAGTCTTATTACTTTCATGTTTTCCTCAGCATCTCTCATTCTAATTTTCAAAAGCCCAAGTTTATTTAAAATAATTTTCACACCTACCTTTTAAAATGCCTAACATCTAAATTTCTTTTTTCTTTTAAAGGAATTGTTTTATTTAACTTTAATTAGTTATTTAGTTAGTTAGTTCAATTTGGCCAGAGAAGGACAGCATGAGAGAGAGAGAGAGAGAGAGAGAGAGAGAGAGAGAGAAAGTGAGAAAGCAAGATGCCAGGTCCGGGACTCAAACCATGACTGGCCACGTGGGAGTTCAGTACCCCTAATCACCATGTCACCTCCTGCTGGCCCCTCTTTTTCTTTCTTTCTTTTCTTTTTCTTTTTCTTTTTCTTTTTTTTAGAGGTTTTTGCTACAGGGTGCATGTGCTCACCAGAAAGACAACAGGGAAAGACAGAGGGACAGAAAGTGAGAAATCACCCCCCAGGGGGGATAGCCACACTGTAGTCCCTTCTCCTTCATTCTCCTCTCGGGATCTTGGGCACGCATGCACATGTGCCTGGCATGCGTTTAAGCCACCGGGTCTGGGACTCGAACCGTGGTCGACTACATCAGACTCCAGCGACATACCCATTATGCCAACTGCTAGTCCCTCTTTATCTTTTTTTTTTTTTCCTCTTTATCTTTTTTAGGAGAGGTTTTTGCTATAGGGCATGCATGCTTGACAGAGAAAGACAGAAAGTGAGAAGCCAATCCCTAGAAATCATCCCTTGGGGGGATGGCTATACCATAATCCCTTCTTCATTCTCCTCTCAAGATATTGGGCACTCATGCACACTGTCCAGTATGGGTTTTATGCTGCTGGTCTGGGACTTGAACTGCAGTGGACCATATGGGAGTCCAGCCATGTAACCATTTCATCATCTGCTGGTCCCATCTACATTTTCACTTTGAACTTTCAGACTCCAAATTTAAGACTACTTTTAAGTTTACTAACATAAAGCTGTTACTTTGTAAGAAAAGTAATGTAAAGACTACTTTTAAGTTTACTAACTAAAGCTGTTACTTTGTAAGAAAAGTAATGTATCTATATGGTATACAAATTCTCGAAAACAGCAAAATCTTTCATTTTTTCCCAAATGCTTTACAGTTCCACTTGTGGGTTTATCCTAGAACTGAATCCCTTGTATAAGTATGCATCATGAGTGATCTTTCAGGCATTGGAGAGTTATTTTTTATACTTCCAAGTTAGTGGTCTGATTCCTGTGTTTTCTGGATACCAACTCCTCCCTCCCTTCTTTCCTTTCTTTTTGGTACAGGGCAGAAAAAGAAACAGAGAGGGAAAGTGAGAAAGCACACTCGGGGAGGATGGCCACACCACAACCCTTTCTCTTCTTGGGATTTTGGTTATGCACAGATGTGCCTGGCATGTTTTTCAAGCTGCCAGATTGGGGACTCAAACTGCACAGTCACCCATGTGGAATCCAGTCACCTGAATCACCACATCACCCTCAGCATTTCAACTCCTTACATCAGATGACACTGAATCCCCATTTCATTTCTCTGCTTATGGTGAAACTAGAAAAATCAGTTCAGGGAAAGTGGATCCTGTTAGAACTATAGGTCATCTGATAAGGTTTCTTCATGGCTGACCTGTCAAAATACTGCTGATTACTTTATTACAGGCCAGATTTGATAACTGCCTTCAGCTGCCCCAGAAAATGGAGTGGATGTTAAGTAATTATTTGTCAAAGCTTTCACTATTATAGTAACTAAGAAACACTCTGAGAGACCTCTGTAAGTCCACCCTTCTCTGCAAACAAATGTCTTTCTGACTGATTTTAAGAGCACACATCAGAAAATGCACACAAATCTGTGAGGCGTATACAGCCACATTTAAGCAGTACCTTCTCTAATGGCTCAGTCACGGAAGTATTTAGGCTTACTTTCAAAGCACCCTGCCACACCCCATCAAGTTCTACAGGTGGCAATTGCTACCTTCCATCTTATCGTGATTTGGGCCCACTTATCTGACTTCCATCTGGGTCAACATGAAAGTAATGAAAGTTTCTACACAGAATATATTACTTTTTATGATGCCTTGCTTTTCTTTTTCTTTGTTTTCTTTTTGCCAAAGGGCACATGCACTCACCAGAGAGGGACAAAAAGAAAAGAAAGAAAGGGAGAAAGCATTCCTCAGTTTGGTGTTTCATATATAACCCTATCTCCATCTCTCCATCCTGTCAGGATTTGGGGCACACATGCACACAAGCCCAGTGTTTTTTTTGTATTTGTTTTTCTTTTTTAAATTTTGCTAGAGGGTGTGTGCACTAATCAGGCAGAGAGAGAGAACGTGAGAAAGTACTCTTCATGGGGAATGGCCCGTAGCAATCCCTTCTCCTCTATTTCTGCCTCAAAGCCTTTAGTGATTTTGGGCATGCATGCACACACCCAGCATGTTTTTCAAGCTGCCAGGTCTAGGACTTAAACTACATAATCAGCCATGTGAGATCCAGCTGCCCTAACCACCATACCACAGGCTGGCTCTCATGATGCCTTTCTGATAGAATCTGATTGACAGGATTTTCCCGATAAATTACATACACTTCTGATAATGCCCCATTATGTTTATTGAGGTATTTTACAAAGTAATTCCACAGATGTAAGAAAAGCCAATAAAACATAAAGCCACAATATCCATAGTTACCAATTTATGAACTAGGACAGAGCTTTCTTCCTTAAACTGATTTGACTTTTTTCTTTTTAAGATTTATTTAATTAATTGTATTTGTTATTATTATTTTTAATTTGACCAGAGAGACATAGGGAGAGAAAGTGAGAAAGCAAGCTGCCAGGTCTAGGACTTGAACCCCATTGGCCATGTGGGATTTCAGTGCCTAAATCACCATGCCACCTGCCAGTCCCACTGCCTTGACTTATTAACAGTATCATATTTTTTAAAAAAATCTTAAAAAAACTTAACATTGTACTTTTGATGTATCTTAACACTCTAAGGGAAAAGTCTACTACAGAATTAAATATACATTAAAATTAGTTTTATCAGGGCCAGCAGGTGGCATGATGGATAAAGGCGATGGATTCCCCACATGGTTGACTATGGTTCAAGTCCCGGACCTGGTCGCTTACTTTTTCGCTTTCCCTTTCTCTCCTTCTCACTGATCAAATTAAAGAAATAACAACAAATGGAATTCAATAAATAATTCTTTTAAAAAATTAGTTTTATCAAACTGACAACTAGGATTTGGGACCATCTTTTGAAAATCACACACTTTTCTCTATATTGCAATTTTTTTAAAAGAAAGATCTTATTTAACTATATTTATTTATTTTATTTGACCAGGAAGGGACAGAGAGAGAGAGTGAGAAAGCAAGCCATCAGGTCTGGGACTTGAAGCACAGTCTGCCATATGGGATTCCACAGCCCTTAACCACCATGCCACCTGTCAGAGCCCATACTGCAAATTTTGAAGTCTTTTTTAGGAGGGGGCTTTTTTAAAAATTGCTAGTCCTACCACTAATGAGCTCTATTATAAGATTACTGTAGAAATCACATATCTAAATTTTCCTAGCAAACAAAAGTAATAATGGATTAGATCTAGACCAATCATTCCAATAGGAAAATGTGGGACAACCAAGTGGTAACAGAAAGTCTCTCCTTATGTATGAAATGGGGATTCTACCAACAAACATGAAATTTTGCACCTACTGGTTCAGACAGATTCTCTAAATTCCCAACCTGAAAACTGTGACTTTTTTCTTCCATGTTTTCTGTAAAAATAGATTATCTTAAAATTCTTTTGTTCTCTAGTGTAACTTTTCAGTAAGAATGTTTCCTTATCAAGCATGAATCTAGCTTCCTCAACTCAAAGACAACCATCTTCTCCATATCACTCCTTATCAAAATAACGCTTTTGGTATCTTCCTTTTCTAATTTAATTTAAACGGTGTTTCCTTCAGCCAAAGGGCAGTACACTAAGGGTTCTTCCTTCAGAGGCTGTTGTACACTACAGATAACAAATGTGGTGTCTGGCCCTGGTTATGGACACTTGAAGGGCACCCACTTTGTTCTTCATGTTGTCCTGCCTTCGGCATGATACTATGGAAAACAATGACTATAAATAAGATGATATATAACGTTCCTTGGTGACCATCCGTTACAGCTTTAAACTTTTCTATTCCTGTGTTCTTGGGATCCTACTGGAGTTTGGAGGGTAAACTCTTCACACAACCATTCATAAGCTCTCACCTCCCGCTCCATCGCTCCCTCTTCCTCCCTCACCATTCAAGTGTGGTAAGGCCTTGATGGAATACCTGATCTCACCTTTTGTCTCCACAAGTCCATCTGTTTCTTTTCCGAGCTTCAGGGTTAAGCCGGAGCCATTGAGACGTTTCCAGGGGATACTTGGAGGTGGGGGTGGGGGGAACAGACAGCCACCTGCACCTTACGGAGAATCCTCCCACCTGTCGCCTAAACATCCCTTTCTTAAAGATGTACCCTCTAAAAGTCCATCTCATTGTGAGAGGATGGACCAGCAACCCCACGGGCCCTTTGTCTGAAGCTTCCACACCTCACACACGCGCACCCACAAAGCGTCCATCCTCACACAAGTCGGGGGTTTGCGCCGCACAGGGCGAGGACCTTAGGGTGCCGCATCTGGTAAAGGGGTGGGTTATGTCCGAGGTCTCTTCAGAAACTCAAATTCTACCATTCTATGACCACACGTCAGGTCCCATTATTTCCGAGGTGGAGAGGGAGAACTCCGAGGCAACCTCTCGAGGTCAGCACGCGTGGTGGCCGCAGGAAAAGGCCCCCTCCAGCCCCGGCTCTGCGTATCCACGCCTCCGACCTCCGGCGCCGGGCCCGGGAGGAGGCCCGCTCGCGGCCGCGCCATGCCCTCCCTCGCCCCCACCCGCAGCCGCCCGCCGCCTCTTACCTGGCAGGCTGGCATCGCCCACCCAGCGCCACACCGGAGACCATGGGTCGGACGGGTCTGGACGTCCACCCTTCCGCCTTGACGGAGATCTCGGGAGATGCGCGGGCACCGGAGTCAAGCGCGCCGCCACCGGGAACGCGCCGCCTGGTTTCTAAGGAACGGGGGGCTCAGGGAAGGGGGAGGGACGGCCGGACGACTGCGCACGCGCCCTGACGGGGGTGGATCCGCGCTGGGAGGGGCCCGCACCAGGAGCTGCGCATGCTCTCTCGTTGAGGGGCGGAGCTCAAGAGACCGGGCTGTGTTCGGATCATCCATTTCCGGCGGCAGTAGCCCTGCGAACTGTATACCAACGTTGGCTTTTGTAAGGTCTGCCGGCTGGCATTAAGAACGTGAAGATTGTGGGAATTATGGTTGGCTTGGGTTGTCCTGGAATGAGGGAAGGTCTCGTGTTGGACAACGACTTATCTTCAGAAGGCCAGCTCTCTCGAACCTGTCGAACTTCTGGCTTCTTGACTGCTGATGATTCGCTTTTCTGATTTCTCCGGTGCCTCTCTGGGCTCCTCTTCTGGACGTTCCTTGATTGTTCCATAAGTATCAGTGCTCTTGGGACCAGCAGTTAGCGTAATGGCTATGTCGCTGGACTCCCACGTGTGCGTGCGTCCCCAAGATCCCGAGAGAATGGAGGAGAAGGGATTGCGGCGTGGCCATCCCCCCTGGGGGGTGATTTCTCGCTTTCTATCTCTCTGCCTCTCTCTCTCTCTCTCTCTCTCTCACACTTGTTAGGATCAAAAGCAGGACTGTACATGCGCCCTATAGTAAAACCTCTCCCCCCCCAAAAAAAAATATACACACATATATATATCAGTGCTCTTCAGAACTGTGATTTCAGTCCCTTTGACCTCTTACTGGAACCTACGTTCTCCCACGTAAACATGTATTCATTTTGTAAGGAGGCTGCCCTCTGGTTCTCCAAGCTGTGAGTGTAAAACTGGCATGTAAAAAATGCGATTGGGGATTATTTCTGCTTGGGAATCTCCGCCCCTGCTTGTCTGACCCTCCTGGTTAAGTGTCAGGACACTTTTCAGCTGGCAGTAGGAGATCTCCCAGGTGCCATTCCAGAGCAGTCTGCAATGATAGAAGTTGTCATCTGATCTATAGCAGCTCTGAGACCTACTGACAGCAGCAGGATTATGCCTGCTATAGGCAGAGGAGACAGGACTTCCCATCACTGCTGCCACCTCTGTGAGCTTGAAAGGGTCCCAGAGATGAGAAATTGTAACCTCTAACCCCTCTTCAATGATTTTTTTTAGAAAGGATTTATTTATTCATCTACTATTATTATTTTTCAATTTGACCAGAGAGAGAAAGGGAAAGCAAAAAAGCAAGTCACTAGGTCTGGGACTTGAACTGTGGTCTGCCATATGGGATTCCAGCACCCTCAACCATCACACCACCTGCCGCTCCCCAGTCATGGGGTTTTTATCCCCTTCTTTCTTTCCTGTATCCTTAAGAGCCAAGATAGAATGAGGCAGAATCAATGTGTGCCTGTGATGTTTGTCTTAGTCATTGTTTAAAATTACATTCTAGAGCAGTTTCTCCACAATGGCACTATTGACATTTTGTGCCTGGATAATTCCTTATTGAGAAGGGGAGGGGGAAACTTATGCATTGTAGGGTGTATAGTAGCATAGCCCTGGGCTCTACCCGCTAGGTGCCAGCCTCAGTTGTCACTAACAGAAATATCTTGACTTTGCCAAATGTCCCCTTGGGTTCAAAATCACTCCCAGCTGAGAACTAGAGGAAAATGAACCAACAATTTTACCAGCAGAACCAGGACTTTTGTGCTTAAATCTCATAGCCCATTCTTCCCTGTGCGTTAGCTCTGCCCTAACAGGGTTCTGTGGAGTAACAGCCCTGTTAGATGGTACTTCGTGAAGCATTCTGTAGTAATGCAAGGGAAAGTTCAGGGTTAAGTAGTATGTCTTACCACAGATTTTGGGGTTTTGATTCAGTGGTGATGTTCACTGTGAATGACCAGAACAGTGTTCCGAATTTACCGGATCACAAAACGCTTTTCTGGGAACTTTCTCAAGATCTGATTCTGCCTGCTCCTCAGCAAACTTCCCCATTCCAGTACCTGTTAGCCACCATCAGCTCCTGTTGTCCCATTTTAATGGCCTCGTACCCATCCTGTTGTCCCAACCAAAGCCTGCACTTATCCTGTCTCTTGCTTCTCCCAACTCCCTCACATTTGATTGGGTCAACATTTATTTTCTAAATATTTCTCAAACTTGCCCTCTTATTTGTGGCCTACTACAGTCGCCTGCTAGCTGGTACTTTGCCTCCAATCTGTTCCCAGTCTTATCTCCAGGTTGACACTGGCATGACCTGCTGTATCTTTTGTATAAAACCTTGTGAGGCAGGAATGGGCCAGCCACACCAGGGAGCATCCTCATGGAGGAAGGTGATCACATGCACTCCATCCATATGTGCCAAGCAGTGCCACATGCATGCATTTTAAGGATGGAGAAACTGAGTGTTGGAAATGTTGACATGGATTTCCATGGTCCCCCAGTTAGTAAACAGGGCAGTGCTAGGATTTTAAGTATAACCTTTCTCCACCAGGCAGAAAGCTAACCTCAGTATCCCTAGATAGGTCTTCCTGAGCTCTAATTTCATTTTTTTCTCAATACCCCTCAGAAGCATTCTGACTGTGCAGCATTTGAAGTGAGAGTATATTTGGAAAGTATTTTTTAAATTTTTTTGGGGGTGGAGGGGAGATGAGATCCTGTGGCCCACCTTCCTGAAGCTGAATTTACTGTTTCTTTATTGAAGATGAGAGCTGTTTCAAGGGTGAGAACTACAGCGTACATACCTATCCTCTTTGGGTCTTGCAAAGGCACTAGAGGCCTGGGCACTCGAGAGGTAGGAGGAGGGCCCAAATCCACTGGGACAGGACGTTCCACTCAAGAGATGCCAAGCGCAGTCCTACTCAAAACAGAGACCACACTCATGACTGCTCACGGATGTGTATTTTAATAAAAATAATTCTGTCAAAATACAACAGGAAGTTTTTTCATCTCAAGTACAATTTTAATAGGATGTTTTGTTAGAATTTTCTCTCAACCCTCCCATGCCCACAAGTTTCATGCTAATGTCAAGTTATCAGCTTGAGAGGACAAAGGCAGAACCAGTGTGCACAATGTGGAGGATGTCTGTTTCAGCTGTAGTACTAATGGAGAAAAACTCTATGCAAAGAGGCAGGCGCCCATGGCAGCCAGAGGCCACAATTTGTCATAGGCCAAGGTGCACTGAACTGGTGGTCAAGTCGCACTCTGCTGTCTGGCTGCTACGTGGCGTGCATACCTGAGTTGTGAGCAACCAGAACTTTCAGCTCCAACACTTCTCTACCTCATCTTCTTTGTGCTTGCTTAAGGGGTGGGAAGGCGCTGGGTGGTCAGAAAGCCCCCATGCTCTGTCTCATAGTGTCCCTGTTCTGACGACTTGCACCCAGTCATAGTCTCATGTGAGGGGGGAGGGGCTTCTGGCTTTGAGTGTCTGCAAGTTTCCGCTCTGGAAGGAGTGACCATTTGGTACCACAGGGGAAATTGAGTAGGGAAGGCTGCTCCCCCAGGGCTGGACAACCCAACAGAGCCAGGTCTTCCTCCTGCCTCCCTTCACCAGGGCTCCTACCAGGTGCCTTTCCCACTGTAGACTCCTAGGAGCACACTGGCAGGACTGGGTGTGCATCTGGGGCTTCTCAGTCGGCAGGCAGGCCTGGACTATCAGCAAGACAGTGGGCTCAAGCAGCTTGGTTTTGACCTCTCCACGGCTTGTGGGGCAAAGGCTTATGTCCCAAAGGTGAGCTGTCCGACTGGGACAGAGAGCCCCTCTGGAGAGGAACAGAGTAAACAACTTGGACTCAGCTGAAACAGTGAGATAAGGCACAGAAAATAGGGAGGTGGCCATGGGAACTGAGCATAAGCCAGGAAGACACCCAATCCCACGCAACACACAGCTGTCTTGAGCCTTCCTGGGCCTTCTCGGCCACTCTGCAACCAAGCCCAGGCCCCGTCCCCATCCCTGACACACCCCTGAAGGGACTAGCCATTCAGACTCTGCTAGAGGCCACGCCACCCTAATCCCTCCTGGGACTCATCTGCCATTCAGCTTCAAGACTAAACAGTGTTGCCCAACCCACAGGGATAAGGTTAGTCCCAGCTCTCTCTGCCACTAATTTGCTGTGTAACTTTGGCCAAGTCACTTAATCTCCTGGGCCTATTTCTGTATCTATAAAAGGAGGACTGACTGGTGGAAGAGATATTCTCTGAACCCCATTCCAGCTGCAAATGCCTCTGGTTTTAATTTCCAATTCTGGCAGGCTCTGACCATTTAACAGCCTGATGTCTCCAACCCCTGAGTTTGGGAGCTAGGTATTCCTGGCCTTGTACAAGATGAATTGCCTTTACAACAGAGGACACCTCCCACCAGGCCATGGTCTGTGGGCTGATAGCTGTGGCCCTGGAAGGGACCGAGGAAAAAGCATCCCACAGGACCATCTCATAAGGTAGAACTCTGGGAGAACACAGGGTCAAGGCCCCCATCACCAGCAGCTGGTCCAATTCTATAATTTTCCTTATTCAGCGGAGGGCCCAGTAAGGTTCCGTGGGCACTGAGTATCTCAGGCCATCCAACCATTCTCATGTCCACTAACAGAGAGCAGGAGCTTGCTCAGCCCAATGCAGGCAGGGGCTGGGAGTTCAACTTCTGGCCTTGCCACGGCTGGCACTCCCTTCTGCAGGGCTGCTAGTGTTCTCCCTCCCTCCCTCCTCACACTGTGATGCAGGTATGGAAAACCCAACCCTATTAGAGCTCCTTTGCTAGGCCTTCTCCCAGGCAGCCAGTCCTCTCCCCAGATGGCCCACCCAAGTCCTGGCAGCCAACTCCGCCCTTCCCTCCTGATTCCCTGTTGGTAGTGGGACTGTTTTTGCTCCACCAGCTGTGAAGATCTATCTGTAACAGCTGGTGGGATATTTGTATAGCCCATGGGGTCCTTTTCTCTGGCCAGCAAATACTTCTAACAGTCTTTGTTATGAGGGTCCAGGGCCAAGCACTGAAAACTGCCTGGCACCGCTGCAGTGAAGCCTGGCCTAGAGGATCGGGTTCCATCCAGTCCAGGGACCAGCCAGCCAAGCATCTATCTCCATAAGGTACCAGCTTCTCAACAGAAGACATCGAGTCCATCAGAGCAGTGCAGAGATGGTGAGGATCCAGACAAGAAGAAAGTGGCCCCTGTACTCAAGGGGCTCTGTCCTGGGAATGGAGACTTCCTCCCGACAGCCTGATACACAGTAGCTCTTGGGTCGAAGGCAGGTAGTTTCCAGGCAATCAATTCAGAGTAAATGAATTATTTGGCCATCTTAACAATGAAGAAAGGCAGGGCATTGAAAAGGGGAGAGAGGAGCAAGGCAGGCAGTAGGAGGCAGGGCAGAGTGTAGAGAACATGCTGGCCAAGGATCCTCTGCTCCCTTGCTTTGCTGTGTGGCCCTGGGCCAATCTGCTGCTTCTCTGGACCCTCAACCTTGTAATTTACTACTCGGTCCAGCTCACAGGAGTCTAGGGACCCACATCTCTTGAGATGCTGCAAACCAGCTCAGTCTGACCCTGTTCACTAAGTGACCACCCACCCCACCCCCAAAGCCTATTTGGCTTCCCTTAGGCTCCAGCTGGGCCTGTGGCTCAATGTAGGGAGAGCCTCAGATAAACAAATCACTGGGCTGAGGTGACAGAGATGGTTCTCTTTTAATGAGTTGGACTCAAATAAAAGCATATGGTGTCTGGACAGCCTCACCCAAGAGGTGCTGGACCACTAACACTACGATAAATACTGTGTCTTTTTTTTTAATATATATATTTATATATATATATTTATATATAATCTCATTTGTTTTTACTTATGAAAATAATAAGCTATCACCAACTTGGATAGGCTTCATCACTAAATTAGCAGAAACCAGCTCAGCACAAACTCTCCAGAGATAAATACTGGTGGCTCAGTCAGGGGGGAAAAAGCTCCTTTGCTAGGCCTTCTCCCAGGCAGCCAGTCCTCTCCCCAGATGGCCCACCCAAGTCCTGGCAGCCAACTCCGCCCTTCCCTCCTGATTCCCTGTTGGTAGTGGGACTGTTTTTGCTCCACCAGCTGTGAAGATCTATCTGTAACAGCTGGTGGGATATTTGTATAGCCCATGGGGTCCTTTTCTCTGGCCAGCAAATACTTCTAACAGTCTTTGTTATGAGGGTCCAGGGCCAAGCACTGAAAACTGCCTGGCACCGCTGCAGTGAAGCCTGGCCTAGAGGATCGGGTTCCATCCAGTCCAGGGACCAGCCAGCCAAGCATCTATCTCCATAAGGTACCAGCTTCTCAACAGAAGACATCGAGTCCATCAGAGCAGTGCAGAGATGGTGAGGATCCAGACAAGAAGAAAGTGGCCCCTGTACTCAAGGGGCTCTGTCCTGGGAATGGAGACTTCCTCCCGACAGCCTGATACACAGTAGCTCTTGGGTCGAAGGCAGGTAGTTTCCAGGCAATCAATTCAGAGTAAATGAATTATTTGGCCATCTTAACAATGAAGAAAGGCAGGGCATTGAAAAGGGGAGAGAGGAGCAAGGCAGGCAGTAGGAGGCAGGGCAGAGTGTAGAGAACATGCTGGCCAAGGATCCTCTGCTCCCTTGCTTTGCTGTGTGGCCCTGGGCCAATCTGCTGCTTCTCTGGACCCTCAACCTTGTAATTTACTACTCGGTCCAGCTCACAGGAGTCTAGGGACCCACATCTCTTGAGATGCTGCAAACCAGCTCAGTCTGACCCTGTTCACTAAGTGACCACCCACCCCACCCCCAAAGCCTATTTGGCTTCCCTTAGGCTCCAGCTGGGCCTGTGGCTCAATGTAGGGAGAGCCTCAGATAAACAAATCACTGGGCTGAGGTGACAGAGATGGTTCTCTTTTAATGAGTTGGACTCAAATAAAAGCATATGGTGTCTGGACAGCCTCACCCAAGAGGTGCTGGACCACTAACACTACGATAAATACTGTGTCTTTTTTTTTAATATATATATTTATATATATATATTTATATATAATCTCATTTGTTTTTACTTATGAAAATAATAAGCTATCACCAACTTGGATAGGCTTCATCACTAAATTAGCAGAAACCAGCTCAGCACAAACTCTCCAGAGATAAATACTGGTGGCTCAGTCAGGAGGAAAAAAAAAAAAGATTAAAAAACCCCAACCCCTCCTCAAAACAAATCCCCCCCTTTCAAAGTGGAAGGCGCTATATGAGAGTAACCAGCCAATACTGTGTCATAGGCCGCTGCACGGGAAGGGGAGAAAGACAGAGGGTGAGAGAAGAAGGAAGGAAAGGAGAGAAGGAAGGAAGGAAAAGAAGGGAAAGGCCAGGTAGGAGGAGTGGACTCTGCCCGTGGCTTCCAGGTCCCTGCGCCAGGTGCCTACGGAGGACAGGGCTGCTCCAGCCCTGGGGCTGAGGAAGGGCTGGGTGGGCCAGCCAGCACAGTCAGCTAGTGCAAGTAGTCGTCGACTCTGGCAAAGGAGCAAGACCCCAGGCCTGCTCGGGCCATGAGTCGTAGACATTCGGATGCCTGGCCCAGGGCGAGCATCAGAGGGGGCTGCTTTGGCAGGTTCTGAGACTCTGTGGACAGAAACAAAGCCTGGTCACTGCTCTGCTCAGGGCTTGGGCCCAGGTCAAGGTTCTCTTGGGAGTAGGAAGTGTGTGTGTTGGGGGGACAGGCAGACAGAATCTCCTGGAACAGAAAGTTTCTGTGTGAGTGTGTCCCAGCCACCAGGCCATGGCCCTGCAGTCATGCCAAGAACCTAAACCTAAGCCTTCTTTAGAGCAGTGGTCATGGCCTAGGGCCCATCATGAGGTAGCCAGGCAAGTCTGCTTAGCAGAGGGAGATCAGGGTTCAAGTTTAGCCATGGGAGTCACTGGACAGGACCTGCACAGAGCTTGCTACCCTGATTTGGACAAACACCATCTCTTCTTAGGGAGAGAGGGAGGGGCCACCCCAGACACCCAGGGGCTGCTTCTGTTGTTAGATCCACTCACCTAAAATGGCGCTGTTGAGGGCAGCGCATACAGGTTCCCTCTGAATGGGGTCAAGTTGCTGTCCAACGGGGCAGCTCCACGGGTCTGAGTACGCCAGCAAGCTGAAGGCATCCTAAGGGACATGACATTCTCGAAGAGCACTGTGACACACACCACACACCTTCAAGTGCCCCAGGGGGAAACGGGGCCCTGCACAATGCTGAGGGAGAGCTCAACACACCTGGACTATGGGGTCTGCAGGGCTGTGCTCGCCCCAGATCCTGGGAAGGGTGGGATACAACCCAGATGCCCCACTTCTAGCTGCAGATCTGACATGAGCCTTCTCTGTCCTATTGCCACTATCACTGGGTCCTCCCAGAGCCACTAAAAGGGGTCTGCTCCTTGGGCAAGCCTGGCTTGTCCTGTACCTGCAGCATCTCCGTATGGGCCAGGTTCTTGCCGTACTCGCGGCCCAGCTGCTCACTCAGTGCCTGCAACTCGCGGCCAAACAGGATGATCCTTTCTGTGGCGGCCTGCAGAGCTGCTGCCGAGGATGCCCATCATCTGTACCAGGAACCCAGCAGAGAGCATGTTAGGGGAGGAAGGGAGGGAAGGGCAGGGCAGGGCAGGGCTGGGGTAGAGTGGGAAGGACCCTGGGGGGGAGTTGGCAGCTTCTGCTGGAGATAGACGAGGGCTGGGAGGAACAAGGGGAGCTTGCGCCACAGGGGGATGCACACAGTCTAGGTGCCGAGGATGCCCATCATCTGTACCAGGAACCCAGCAGAGAGCATGTTAGGGGAGGAAGGGAGGGAAGGGCAGGGCAGGGCAGGGCTGGGGTAGAGTGGGAAGGACCCTGGGGGGGAGTTGGCAGCTTCTGCTGGAGATAGACGAGGGCTGGGAGGAACAAGGGGAGCTTGCGCCACAGGGGGATGCACACAGTCTAGGGTCAGGTTAAGAGTTAGAAGCCCTCCCTCTTCCCACAGTGCTCATAAGAGCGCTCTCAAACTCCCTCTAGCCTCAACACAGGAGTATTAGCAGTAAGCCTAGACCTTCCTGCATGCTTGGAGCCACCTCAAAGACCCGCCCACAACTCGCTAAGGAGATGGTACCCCGGGTCTAGTGGGAGCCACATCTGCCCGTTGTGGGCCCCTCACAGGACAAAGAGGCATCTGGACTACACATTTGCCCTATTAGGCAACACAGTGATGGGTTGAGCTAGGGCATGGCCCTCACCCATGCTGGACTCGTCCGTCTGCAGGTCCTCATGCTTGTAGGAGCCATTCACAATGCGGGTAGACACACTTTCCAGCACACCATTGGGGTAATGCTCTGCCTCCATCTCCATCTCACTGTCGCTGCAGAGGAGGGTTGAGGTGGGAGTTGGCCAAGGGGATGTGGTTGGAGCGGCCTTACTGGGCCTCCATTCATGCCTCAGTCATGAGTTACGGAAGGCCTCCAGGGGCATAAAAAGACAACCCAAACTTCCCAAACTTCCCAGTCTCGGTATGGCCCTTATTGTGATATTCACTATCCCCAGAGGCCTGTCACCTGAGCCCTACCCTTGTCCAGTGCTGCCTTTATGACTCTCTCCACCCTGACCCTTCTCTGAGTTGAGACACCGCTCCCCAATGACTGGGCCCCATGAGCCATGATAGACATCTCTACCTTGGCTGGGAGACAAACCCAGGTCAGCCTTGAGG